ACCCATGATGGCTCAATTCCTCTAAATATGGCAAAGAGAGTTCCTTAAAGGAATAGTTCACTAAACAATGACAATTTTATCATCATTTAATGACCTGTTGCTTCAGCACCATATTCTATAATTGATAATTTGGCACACTATGAGCTAATTTCATACATTTTTGTGCTTCACAGAAACATTTTGGGAGAACAAATCATGTAGATGACAGAAAATATCGTGACAGAAAATATGTAAATACAAATAGTTCATATAATGTTATTGACATTATATTTTACAAAACAAAATATATTACACAGTTTATAATATAAGTGTTTTTCAATCTCTGATAGTACTATTTCTGACTATCTGAAGGTTCACATATTGATCAGAAATCGGAAAGGTATTTCTTTTTCGAGCCCCTTTTTCTCAGATCCACGAAAATGACAAAAAAATGAAATTCTGTATTATGCATGCCAGGCCAGTAGTTGGCGATGTCACATTGTAAAGAAGTGCTATGTGTCTGCACACACGTATGAAGTCACTGTTTTCATAAATTTGCGAGGGTGTTTTATATTTTACAGGTCCCCCAACGCTGTCGACGTGTAAACGAATAGGCACAATGCATAACAAGTTTTCCATTTTTATTTGAAAATGGTGTCGTGTAAATGTACCCTTAGAAATTATTTTTCCATTGAGTTATTCAAGCCTTTTTCTTCCAAATCTCTGGGCATCTGCTGTAAGCCTTGGTTCCCCCCAAAGTCTCTTATGCTCACTATAGATGTTGGTTCAAATATAATTTGATAATGTTAAAAGTGCTACAAAATGACACATTTGTTAAACTGAACAGAACATTTGAATGTAAACACAAAAGCACACCACACCACAGCTTGTTTAGCAATATTCACATGTATAAAAAAGCACTGCATGGCAATCAGACCTTCTTCTTTCAATCAAAATTATTAAATGATATATCTATTGAAAATTCATGTTTCAGCATAATGCTCGAGACAGTAAATGTGCACTGCAGTGCCTGTTCAGTGACATATGTTTGGCATGTTTTACCATGACCACAGTGTTGTTTATAATAAGAGCTAATCACTGGTGTACATTTGCGGTGTCTAAATGATTTCTGTTTGCATCGGTCTCTTGTTTTTTTTCAGACTGAGAACCCCAAACCACTTCCTTGTGTCACAAATTTCAACTTCTTAATTCTAATTTGATTTAGGGAGTGTAAGAATAATGCTATACCATGTGAGTTAAAATACCCAAGACAATATAAGGTTTTAAAAGATGATACTTTAAAAGATGATAAAAATAAATACTCTGAACGTATTATACGGTGATACAAGGTACACAAGTGAAAGTGCCCCAGAAATTTGTCTGTTTAGTTTTGTTCACAACAGGCAGAAACATGCATCAGTTTCCCTGTCTCCCCCTACTGGTTGTTAAGATGTTTTACACTAAAGATTTATTACACTAAAGAGTTTAGCAAGCATTTATAATTTGTTTTTATTTAAACGCATATTTCTGTGGCTGCAGAGATTACTACTCTTAAAGAATTACGGGTTTGTTACTGAACACATGTATTTACATGTTTTATAGGAACATTCCATAGACTTGATTTTTATACTGTACTGTATTTTCTATCCCTTCTATCCCCCTTACTCCAACCCTTAAGTCTCCACAAGGACAAAATGTACTGGTATTACTATCCTTGAGGAGACATTTGATAATGTAGGGAATACCAGGTACCCACACACACACACACACTCTCTCTCTCACACACACACACTCTCTCTCTCTCTCTCTCTCTCTCTCTCTCTCAATAATGGCACCAAACTTGCACAAAACTGCGTCATGATTCTTCACTGAGTTTAATACAAGATTCAGTTTAGGTGTGATTTATTTCATCATATTGAAGTGAATCAAGACAAAAACACAAAGATACAGTTTCAGTTCTGAGTTTATTACGTCCCAATCAGAGCAGACTGCGCTTGTCGGAAGGAGGGACTTTGTAGAAAACGTATACAAGTAAAAAGTATTTGAAAAATAATGTGTTTTTTGAACATTAAAGCATGTCAACATATTCTGTTACACCAAATACACAAAATAATGATCTTTAAAAAAGCATTATATGACCCCTTTAATGTGACTTGCATAATAGTTCATTGTTTTTTTATGTTATGACAAAATTTGAAATTAATTTTTGTTCTTTATGCTATAAGGTTTATAGCAGGTGCAAACAGTGATTAACAATCATTAATCTGAAGGGCGGAGTTGGTGGGGTTGCTATAAACCAGTAGTCTAAATCTCAATTGATTAGAGAGAATCCCTCTTATGCCGCCCCATAACATGCCAGCATAACCTGTTCTGGTCAGCAGGTAACCCGCTGCGTCTAGTCGTGAGTTCGAGGTAAATTCCTACTGTGAAACGTGTCCGCAAAGTTTACGCGACAGTTTAACAGCTGAGCCCAAGCCTCCATTACTAATTCCAAAATGTCACTTTAGAACTAGTAACGAAGGAAAATTGAGTTGCTTCATTAAAAGCTTATTGTATTACTGTAGTAAAAGCAGTGTATTATATAGTAGAGTATTATGAGAGAGAGATTGACTCAACGAGTGTGATTACCTGCATCTGAAACAGTATTTATTCTTCAGATCAATCTCATAATCACAATAAAACATTAGTTTGAATGTCCAATAGGCTCGTACTATCCTTGCATCTGTTAAAGGGGTCATCGGATGCCCATTTTCCACAGTTTGATATGATTCTGTAGGGTCTTAATGAAAAGTCTATAACATACTTTGGTTAAAATGTCTCAATAGTAGTGTAAAACAACACCCATTTTACCCTGTCAAAAACAGCTCTGTTTATAGCAAGCAGTTATGTTGCATGTTCCTTTAAATGCAAATGAGCTCTGCTCACCCCGCCCCTCTCTTCTGAGCCGCTCTCTGAGAGACTGTAAACTTTAGCGAAACTTGCTAACTAGCACATTATTAGGAAAGGCGATTTGCAAAGATTCATAAAAAAAAAAAAAAAAACTTATACTCACTTCTGTAGGTGAAGCTGGATGATTTGCGCAAACTTATACACATTTAGGTAGATCGGGGGCGCATTCCCTTCAGAAACAAATGTAATCCATTTCAACGGCTCAGATGTCGGGTGTAAATGACGACTGCTATATTCATTATTACATCCAACAACAGAACGCCTCAATCGCTTAGAAGATATTCTTGTCTACTCATGCTCCGCCTTCGAAACAATGGCAGACTGATGACAGCTCACTCAGGGCCAACTGTGATAAAACCAAAGACTGACGCCACTGTCAATCAACAACCGTGGGAGGGGCCTGTGCAGAACTACGTCATTCTGCCAAGAATCTGAGATCGGCTTGATATGAGAAAGGGGTTCGGATTTATTGAGATTTTTAAAAAAGCACCGGGTGGATTTTTATCATTATAGGGTGGTTGTGTACAGACACTGCCAAGACACATTTCAGTTCAATCAACAAGTAAAAGTGAATTTTGCATCCGATGACCCCTTTAAGGGTGAATGTGGTTCCTAAAGACAGCAGTAGCCCCTCACTGCAGAACAAAGATCCAGGGGGTGGGGTTGGATCCACATCTAGGGGGTGGACATGGGTGGGTTTAGGGATCAGGGGGTGGAGACGGGTAGGTTTAGGTATATGTAAGGTGGGAGGAGTTAGATCTGGATCCAACCTCGCCCCCTGGATCTTGTGTTCTGCAGTGAGGACCATCTCAAAGACAGCGCTGCTCGGTGCATCTGTTGGCTGCCTAAGGGCTGTGTTCCAGTTCACTTTTTTATGCCCTTCACTCGCTAACTTCCCTCAGTCTAGTTTACTCGGATGTACTTCATTGATTACGTTGCATGAGTGCCCACTACTGGCAGAACCCTTGGAATGAGCTGAACTGGAACGTCCTAAGCCCTTGATCACTTAGAATCCGCTATGGAGTTGGTTTATTGTTTACATGTTTCCCCTTACGAATTTGTTTGGTGCAGCATGCTTGGGCTGTTATAAATGTAAAATAAAAATAATTTATATATAGTTGTTTGGGGTGGTGATAAATTAAACGCGATCCGCGATCCGCGATGACGTCATAGTCGTGTTGCATTGTGGTCTACAGAGCGGCCTGAAGTGTTCAGTAAACTACTGTTACATTTAATTAGATAGCTTATAATTACACAGGCCTAATAGGGACACCTTAGAGTTCTTGTTCCTAAAGTTCCTATTCATTGTGCGCTTCACACTCCTTTCCAGTAGGTAGCGGGAATGCACCTTTTAAGTTGGTTTGCCAACCGCCATTAAATCCTACAAGAAGAAGAAGGGACACCTTAAAATAGTGTAACCAAAATGTTGTATTACATTTGAAAACATGACCAATTTTAACGTGTATGATAGATACTGGTTTGTATGGAAGCCCGTTTCCGCCACTGAATAAAAAATAAAAAAAAGGTAACTGCGACTTTTTATCTCACAATTCTGATTTTTTTCTCAGAATTGAGAGATATAAACTCGCAATTGCGAGTTATAAAGTCAGAATTGCGAGAAATAAACTCGCAATTGCGAGTTAAAGTCCAATTTTGAGGGGGGAAAAAGACTGATATGTTCTCAGAATTGCGAGTTTATATCTCACAATTCTGTGAAAAAAAGTCAGAATTGAGAGATATAAACTCGCAATTGCGAAAAAAAAAGTCAGAATTGTGAGTTTATATCTCGCAGTTCTGACTTTATTTCTCAGAATTGCGAGTTTATATCTCGCAGTTCTGACTTTATTTCTCAGAATTGCGAGTTTATATCTCGCAGTTCTGACTTTATTTCTCAGAATTGCGAGTTTATATCTCGCAGTTCTGACTTTATTTCTCAGAATTGCGAGTTTATATCTCACAATTCTGTGAAAAAAGGTCAGAATTGTGAGATAAAAAGTCGCAATTACCTCTTTTATTTTTTATTCAGTGGCGGAAACGGGCTCCCATAGGTTTGAATACACACAGAAGACTAAAACAACTGCCTAACCAAACCGGAAGTAAACAAAGCGGACCACAGTTGTTGGATACAGTCGCCACGGTAACAACAACAACTGCAACAGTTACAGAAGCTCTCAACAGCCAAAAGCTAATGATTTCGGGCTTCAGTAACGCTTTTGATATCACAGTTAAAAGGAAAAATGGCATCTAGTTTACAGACGCAACACGAGACGCAAAGCGGAGTTTATACGTTCTCCAGTCGTCCGCGTGCGGTTCCCAACCGCCCCAAATACAGACAAGACGCTCCGCTGCTGTGAGTCACACACCGCATCTCGCTTCAGCTGACATCTTTTGCCAATTAACAATATAAACACGTTAAATATCATTGATAGATTGATATATTTAAGATTTACCTAGATATTTGACGTCCTTAGACAAATCCATGTATTTTGTCCATTATAGCGGTCCTGTGAACATCGGGTAAACATAAGCTTTCTGATTTATTGATTTATTATTTATTTATTTATTTTCTCAGCTCTCTTTTTACACAACGTAATCTGAAACGCTGTTTTACTGCAGTAACAGTAATTGTAATAATTACTAGAAAACTAAGATTACATTGGTAAGCCTTTTTTTTTTTTTTGTCTTGGGCTTATAATGTGATACCAAATTTATCAGGGTTGGGCACTTAATGTTAATATTATTAAAGTACATGACGGTTTGCACATCGTTTTACTAATGAATAAATAAAAAAGAGATTTCTTTTTTAATAGATAAAATATGCAACATGCTGATTATTTTAATCTATTATACAATTTATCTTCACTGTATGCAGAAATGAAGAACAGAGCAGTTATGGAAACATCATGTATGACCGACGTGTTGTCAGAGGAAATACATACGCTCAACATATCCTACCCATTGTGAGTACCAGTACAGATAGGTTAGAAAACTCTCTTATAAGCAGATAGAGTTGTGTGTGCTTGTGTAGTCTGACAGCCAAAAGCTCATTAATATTACGAACCACACATAACACAGTGTTTGCTCATATGGTACTGTGATGAGAGCGCAGCTGATGCATGAATTGAATATAAATTAATATAAATATGTTTAATAGACATCTCAGCCCGATCCAGTTGAGTTCCTGAGACAGCAGGAGGCCAGAAAAAAAGCTTTGTCCAGAAAACGACTGAAGGAGCAGTTTGGCCCGAAAACACCAGAACCACTAGAGGGCAGAATGAACATAGATGTGCAGACAGGTATAACGATTTTGCACAATAGAGTGCTGCACAGATTACATATTTTTGTAGGCCAAAACCCAGAAATCAGTTATTATTTTAGCACCTCCATTTCCATAGTCTTGAACTCAATGGATTTTTGAATGACTTTTTGGTTAAATGCCTGAAATATATAACGTCTGTGGTTGACACATAAACTACATCAGTTATACTCCCATGTGATTTTTTTTTAAAGCTTTTACTTGTCTTGAAAAGGCAGTTGCTGTCAAGTGGCTAAATGAGACTACAGAGGTGTTTTGGGACATTAAACATCATCACACCAAACAGGAAAATCCATCCACTTAATAGTCTGCTTTTACAGCTCACTTGTGTTTATAATCACACTCTTGCAAACTATTCTAACTCAAACTTTCATGGAAAATGTTTTTTTGTTTTTTTTAAAGCTGTTGGAAGCTTAATAGTGGCGATGTTGAAGTCATGTGATCATGATGTAGTTTGTTTATAGCTAGCTTTCGAATTCTAGAAATTGTATATAGGCTTTAAAATTCAGAAGATTATGATGAACAAATCATGTAAGAATCATATTCTTTTGTTGGTCACTCAGTTTATTTTCCTCAAGAATCCAAAAGCCAACAGACAAATCCTATAGGGTGATACTAACTTCCAGGTCGGCCTACAGAAAAAAGTCAGAGCCAAATTAGTGCTGGGCGGTATGACCAAAAATTTATATCACGGTATTTTTTAAAATTATACCGGTTTCACGGTACATAACGGTATTTTTTTTTTCATGCATGACCGGGTGTTAACCATATTTTCTACTGATTGAGAGAGGAAATACTGCAGTATATTGACTTAGAATGCCCTATTTTACTGTCATGAGTGAATATTGTTAAAAAATACCACACTATATAGTGACTAAACCTGTTTTGTACTCATTTATTGACGAGTCGGCTGTGGTGCAGCCAACTGAATGCACTGCTTCTCTGCCGCTCACTGCACAGAACAGACGCCGAGAGAGGTGACCTCGCGACAGCACTGGCGAAATCTTCCAACTGAACCATAGCTAAGGTTTATCCAAAAAAGTCGCTAGGTTTGTCAGTATGAATATTCGATGGAAAAAAGCCGCTAAAAGGGTCTGAAAGTTGCTAAATCTAGTGCTAAAGTCGTGCTCGTGTGTGTGTGAGACGTGGGAGCTGATGGCAGGGGGCGGTGGATATTTGTGGCGGTCAATGTGGATATTGTGGATGAGTTCTTCTGTGTCATCACGTTCTATTAGTTCTACAGCTTCAGTTTCGGAACTTTCACGCTTAGTAACACATACAGCTGTTCCCTCAACACAGTGCAACAGTGAAAAGGGACCCCTTTCAAACAGTGTCGCGTTCCGAACGTTGTTTAAGTGACATACACCGGTATTGCGGTATTTTAAAAATTCATATCATAACAAAAATAAACCGGTATGAACCGGTATACCGCCCAGCACTAAGCCAAATGTTAAACTTCTGTGTGTGTCAATAAAATGTGGCAAAAAGCTCCCCAAAAGAACCTTGGCCTACTTTCATTGTGTAACATTTTTTATAAGCAACACAACCTAACCAAACCATGCGCATAAGTGTAAATCTAAGAATGGACATGCATCTTTCCATCTGATAATACTGTGATGAAATTCAGAAATCAAGTGCTGAAATCTCTCACTGATGTGTATTTTAGAGATGTATCTGGAAGAGCTGAGCGATCACATAGAGGACGTCAGTGTGGAATGCCAAACAGACATGTTCCTGGACAAACCAGCCACTCCCCTCTTCATCCCTGCCAAAACTGGACGAGATGCAGCCACACAAATAGAAGAAGGAGAGGTGCAGAATGGATGCTCTCAACTGGCTGTTTTTGCATGCATATTTTTCCTTCTGTTATCTGTCTGTTCTCACATCCATATCTCTGCTCATCACATTTGTAGTCCTGTTGCATTTAGTAAAGTGAATCAATGCATTATACTGTATAATCAAATTAATAAAATCCGTAAATGAATTATGCAGATGACTAATTCTAAAAAAAAAAAAAATCTGCCGATCATTTCCCAGTGGTAAGACTTGCATGTGTCTTGTCTGTAGCTGTTTGATTTCGACGTGGAGGTCCAGCCCGTGCTGCAGGTGTTGGTGGGAAAGACAATCGAGCAGGCATTGCTGGAAGTGCTGGAGGAGGAGGAGCTGGCCAACCTGAGGGCTCAGCAGCAGGTGTTCAAGGAGATCCGTGACGCTGAGCTGGTGGAGGTGCAGAGGCTGGAGGAGAGGGAACGGCGCCTCCGTGTGGAGAAGGTGAGAATTACTAGAAACAAGACATGATGCTCAGCAAAAAAAAACAAAAAACAGCAAGGTTTTCAAGTGATACTGCGGCTTTAATTAAGTCAAAGGTAAAGACTATGGCAACAGGCCACAAAACCATTTTGTTTTCTGAAAATAGAAGCACAATTTAGTGGTTGGAGATGGAACTGGTACAAAGTTTAAGATAGGTAGGTGTGTTATGGTCTGAGATAGATTTTTTTTTTTAGGGTTTTAAGTTTACACTCTGGCAAGTAACTTAAGTAACTGTATATCTGTGTAACTGATTAGGACTTATATTAATCTTAAACTAGCAAAATGTGTTTATTTACATATTTATTTTATAATGATTTACCATAATACGTATTTACTGATAACCACCATGACAATATAAACAGTAAATCAAAAAGCCATGGCTAATACTCACATATAGACAGTGCACATGGTCAAGACGCCATCAGAGTCACGCATTCAAAATGATTAAATAAACATGAACATTACCCAACACACCCTAATGTTACCAAATTTAAAAGCGAAGGAAAGCTAGGAAAAGAGGGAACGCCCCCACAGTGATACCGGTATTACCGGTGTTGTCACACGTCGATTAACCGGTGGGAAAATTTCCTCACCGTTACAACTCTATTACCAATAACAACAAAAAAAATTATTAAAAATATCATTATATTCGATGTGTTATGCAAAGACTCCTGGGAATGTCTTTTTATGTAAATTATATGGTTTTTGTTTTTATTTATTTTCTATTTTTCAGATTCTGTAACTCATAAACACTTATTCGAAATCTTCACCATATTAATTACGTTTTAACTTTTTTTAGTTCACTTAACTGGTCCTTTTGTGAGACAAATATATATTTTTAAAAGTAAAAACATTCCATTGTCTCAATTCATATTCAGAATTTAAAAGTTGATAAGCCATATTTGAGGTCGATGATTGATAACCGAACATTTGGATTTTCTGCCCGAAATACTGTAATTACCTCTTTTTTGTTGATTTATATTCAGAATCTGAAAAATAATTTCTACTTAAAAATTAATTTTATTCAAATGCATTTCTGGATCTTATGTTTGAGCAGAGATCTAAGAGATTTAAACAATATTTTCTGAGTTCTAATGCTTCTTGTGCGTCAATATATTTTTAATATTGCTTCCTTAATGCAGGAGAACCGGATAAAGCAGCAGAAGGCAGTGCTGGAAAAAGAGAAGGAGACAGCAGATAAAATTGCAGCGAGAGCATTTGCTCAGCAGTATTTGTCTGACTTGTTGCCCTCAGTCTATTCCAATCTAAAGGATTGTGGCTACTTCTATGACCCTGTGCAGAGAGGCAAGTGTCCCAGCATGTCAATTAATCTCTGTATTAATTCATTTTAAAAGGTCTTTAATGAATGAATACATGAATGATCAGTCTACTGTCTAGTGAATGAACGTTCATTATCTCTGCTCCAGATATAGAGACTGGATTCCTCCCTTGGCTGATGGAAGAAGTCACCAGTACTTTAGAACAGAGATATGTAGCAAGAACAGTGCTTGACAGTGAGTTAACAATTTTCAGAGAACCATTCCAATTGTTTTCTCAGATAAAAAATTAATTTTAAAAATATTTTCTGCTGTCTAATACATAACATGGGATTAATCTATCAAGTCTGTTGTTGTCTAGTGCTCATTCAAGACGTCACTAACCAAAGACTTGAGGCCTTTCAGATGAAAGAATAAACTCCGTCATGCAATTTCCCATTAGAGGTAAACAGGATCAAACATTTAATAACTTTAACACTTTAATTTGTAAAATAAAATATAATAGAACACATTATTATATTGAATGATTTCCATTTAAATGTCAGAAAATCAATATAAATGTTACTGTTCAATCTGTTTAAAGGGGTCATATGATGCGATTTCAATTTTTCCTTTCTCTTTGGAGTGTTACAAGCTCTTGGTGCATAAAGAAGATCTGTAAAGTTGCAAAGACTAAAGTCTCAAATCCAAAGAGATATTCTTTATAAAAGTTAAGAGTCAACCACGCCTACCTAAAGCGGCTCGTTGTAACACGCCCCCACATATTAACCGGGGCTTGTGTACTGCATCATCACTGTGTCTGTCATGCGACTCTGTTGCCCTTTCGGGCTTGAAATGATTGTAAAACTAACAACATTATTTACTGTCTTGATATTTACTTTGAAAGCTGAAGCGATTATGGTAAGGGGCGTTACATTTCCGACGCGTGCTTGTGGTG